TCATGTCTGGAGCAGGTGCAAATGTCAATGTAAATTTGCACTGTGTGTTATGTTGCAATGTGGACGTTTATGCCAACGTCAGAGGAGGATCTTATTAATATCTGTTCGTTTGCCAACACCAAACAAATTGTCAACAGTTGCGTACTTTTATGCGTATACCGGACAGTGTATTCTTTTGGTTTCAAGGAGTCAAAATTTTGTGTGCAAATTAAATCAGACACATGTTGCTTCACGCGAAAATTTTCGGTGAAGTATCTCTCTTCTCAGTCAACTTTGATTGGAAAACAACCTGTCTTGTGTTGAAAGTCGTGAACAGACTGACGAATATGTGTGCCTTACATAATCTACATACTTTATTTACACACCTAAGATGCTTTTCATGTGAACGCATAGTAAATTTACAAATACGCATGTATGTATAATTAAACATGTGTCAAATTACTTACGTTAGTAAATGTTGTGTAGCTGCGTGTTTACATCTGAAGATGTAATTGGCTGGAATGTATACCAAAAAAGTGTAATACAGTACTTTAGCAATTAACTTGCATACATGGATATTCTCTACCCTTGAATTGGGTTTAACGTCGCGTCCAAGATTATTGCACTTATATAGCGACGTGCATGCACGTGTGTGTGTGAGTGGTTGCTTGTACTAGTCCGGACTGATGCCGATTTTTAGTGCTAGCTCACTGAGATACCATGCCGCAGTTTAACATGAATACCCCACTCAGACACAGTATACTGACTCCGAACCAACCAGTCCTTGTTTTAGCCCCTTAATGCCAGACAGGGTAACAACAAGTACCATCTTGTAAAGTCTTCTTTGTCGCGGCCGGGGATGGAACCCCGGACCTTCCGCACTCCGGGCGAACGCTCTACCACAAGACCACAGAGGCGGTCCTCTACCCTTGAAGATCCGGGGTAGGATAGGTCTTCAGCAACCTTGCTTGCTGTAAAAGGCGACTGTGCTTGTAGGAGACGACACAACGGGATCGTGTGGTCAAGCTCGCTGCCTCGGTTGATGCATGTACTCGTTTCCCAATTGCGTGGATCGATGTTCATGATAGGTTATGTGAAAATCAGCTGAAAATGTGGCTCTACCGGCAATAGCAATTTCTGAATGTGGCTCTTCCGGCTAGACACCTCATGATATCCGTACCCGGAATATGTAGAGAGCGTCATGGAAAATGATAAATACAAAATTCTTTGGAATAGGCCCATTTACAGCCTCAGACGAGTACAGGCCAACAAACCTGATCTTGTCCTTTTTGATAAATCCAATGAAATCATTTATATCATTGAATCTTCTGTCCCTTTTGACAGTAATGTGATTGACAAGATTGAGGAAAAACATGGCAAATATGCAGACCTCGCTTTCGAAATGTCACGCTTGCATCCCAAGTACCAAGTTGTCCGACTCCCCATTGTTCGCGGTGCCTTAGGTTTGGTACCTCCCAATCTGTTGACTGACATTGGGAGAGTACCCGGGTTTGCTACCAGGAATACAGCCCTTCTGACAATCTAGGTAATGCAGAAGGCTGCAGTGTTGGGGAGTCTTCACATTCTCCGAAAAGTTCTGGGTAGGTTTGACTTGGCAGCGCTTCCTGGGAAAAGTCCCATTCGCTCTGTTGCTATCATAATATCGAGATGTTTAAAACACGATCGCTATACTATTGTCACAATTGTACAACTGTTGCATAATTACCCATTATTGTTATCAGTTCATGGACAGTTTGTTTGTGTGAAGTATTTGTGTGATGTATTTAGGGACTGTCGTCCTAAATAATCGAGTCTGAACCAGACAATTCAGTGATTGATATTACGAGCAACGATGTCCACCGTCGGAGTACAGTGGCACGCAATCAACTCAGTCTTCGGGCCTGACCAACCGATCTATTAAGCCGCCTCTTAAGATCAGCTTAGGTTGCTGGAGACCAGTCCTCACACATGCTATACTTCCTACAGCTATTCTATACACACTCCATCAGCCCTGAACATGTATCCGGAACTGACATCTAAACACGTGCAGAGTGACAAATAGTGTTTTAATATTGATGAACAGCATATTTCACAGCGGAGACAGATTACGAATGCACATCTGTACATCGATGGCGCCAAGATCATTTTGCTAATCTATTGGTTTCTTGGTCGTTATTCCTTGCGTTCGTTGAAGAACCTGAGGTTTGGTGTGTTTCCCAGAGCGCATGTGCGTCCATGAATAGTTCATTACTAGATTCCGTGCCTCATGTCTATCATTATTTTGTCGCGAACCTTGAGAATACCTTTCTGACACAGGTCACTTAGTTGTGTCTGTATTGAATAACAAAATGTAGCGTGCATCCTAATTGCTGATGTTGTGTTATTTACCATTCATTCATCCGCAATGACACAAGCACACGTCTAACATAAGCTGTGGTGAAATCTAGCTCCGAAACGTCCCTACATGTCATACAGCGTATTTACGTTACATTTTTTAACACAAGATACCAGAGAGTAAGACATGCCGCGATGGTTCTCCGCCATCCTTGACGTAAATAAAAATGACAAAATTATTTCCATATCCAAAAGAAATCTCTGTCAAAAGCAGAGTCTGTTGTATGATTCCGACTGTATCATAAGCATGTGTTTATGAATCACTATAAAATAGTGAGGTCGCTCTTTGAAGTCTTCGAAGAAAGACCATGTTCGATTGTCTGGTCCAGATCGATTATTTACAGACCGCCGTCATATATCTGGAATATTGCTGAGTGCGGCGTTAAACAACAAACCAACCAACCAACCAACGATTGTACATTAAATTGTGAAATGTGGACACCAAAGGCTTGAGCTGATGGAATATTGCAGACATAACGAGACATTTGACAGTTGGAAAGTCATTACACTTGTCACACAGTGCTGTGATTAGATTTTTGTCACTCTGAATCTTTATGCACTAGCCGAAATATGAATCAATGGAGGCAGTTTCACTTGTCACTTATATTGCTGGTTCAGGGGGGTAAATCAGTGGAAGGGAATTAGCTATTTGATGACTTTTGAACGGTATCATATCATCGATATACCTGAAACTGAAACTTCTTGACCCGATTCCCTTCTTGTATTGCCAATCCAAGAGGAAATTCTGATTCAAATGCTTAAGAAACAGATCAGCAATGAGGGGAGCACAATTGCTGCCCATGGGGATGCCCACTTCTTGCCTAAATGAGGTATCCCTAAATTCCACAATGACGGTAGCAATGAGGAAGCCCTCAGTAAACTTCAGATGGCATTTGATTTCATTTTTTATCAATTGTCCAGAACCTCTGAAGATATAAATATATCCATGGTCACCATGAATCAAGAATTGAATGTTTCCTCAAATTTGTCGGGAGGGATAGTTGTGTATTAAGTTGAAAAACCAAACGTTTTGACAGAAGTGAACGTCTTTCAAATAGATTGCAAAAAATCAATCTGTAAATATGAAGAATGTCCTTCCTTGGTTGTGTTTAGGATTATGGAATTGCGTCAGGTGTGATCGGACGTGTTCACGTCGAGCAGATGAAAAGAGTTCCAAATGGACTAAAACACATCAACAATAACAACGAAAACACGGTGAAATATACACAAAACGTATGTGAGGACAGTAGTGACGAACGTGTTTAAATTAATTACAATTTAATGTAGTTTTGAGAAGAAATAGTCTCACATCATCAGAAGGCAATCGCTTGTCAATCGCTGTCACGCACCAGTCACCCGTGACAATCACTGATTTCACGTGCAATATGGGAGACTCGCTTGAATGCTTGCGAGGCCGTATCGGGTGTTTTACACCATGTCGACGCAATCCACGTCGATTATTGAAAGAACTAAAAATATCGGGATCATATTTGACAAGACATTTGAAGGTATTGCTCATGTTGAATTTGTTTTTACATTTGAGTGAATGTTGGATATCTTATCATGGTCAAATGTACACCAGTCAGTTTGACAAGGCAATGTGCAAGATATCATGTGTTGGTGAACGTTTATGTCTGTATTTACATCCCGCATACACCACGACTCTTACAAATATGTTCTGACGTGGAGTTGAACCCAGGCCCGCGGTGTCGGGACAGTGGCGGTAGGAGTGCTCGGAGTAAGGCAACTAGACAGTCTACTCCAGCGTTCACGAGTGACGGTAATTCAAACAACAGAGATTCTGACCAATACGAGAATGACAGCACTGATGTTTTGAAGCTTATAAGATCGGACATAGGTAAACTTAATAGAAGGTTTGATACAGACAGAAATGACATTAAAGAGGAATTGTCCAGAACCTCTGTAGATATAAATATATCCATGGTCACCACAAAGCCCCATGAATCAAGAATTGAATGTTTTCCTCAAATTTGTCGGGAGGGATAGTTGTGTATTAAGTTGAAAAATCAAACGTTTTGATGAAGTGAACGTCTTTCAAATAGATTGCAAAAATTCAGTCTGTAAATATGAAGAATGTCCTTCCTTGGTTGTATTTTGGATTATGGTTAATCTTTGTGTGGTGGTCCATTACTGGTTCTTACAGTATCTCTCTATTTGTGCGGATTGCTATGGAGTTCCGTCACTCACTACAAGTCAAGTCTAAAACATCTAACAATTACACATATGCTACAGTGCCCTGAACATATTCATAATGTTTAAGTATTCTCGAGGCAATATTCGAATAATTGCAATCGACAAACCCTTTCCATAACCGTAAGCGATATAAGTCCATTTTACGATTCCGACTGTGTCATAAGCATGTGTTTATTAATACTAACAAAATAGCGATGATACCAGGTTTTCACGAAACGGCGAGCGTATTGAGACACAGCGGCGTCACTCACCACAAACACATGCATAGGCAGATCAAGTGTCACCTTCAATAAACACGGGCTTATATGGTTCAAGTGAAAGAAGGGAATTGCATCGTCATTACTTTGGTGACTGCTGTATCACATTTCGAAGGGTCCTCCACATATTTATCACAATCCGAAAAAAAGAAAATATTAGACGAATAGGCGATTTATTTCAACATGAATTTGAGATAGTACAAAGCAAATAGATTCACATTAACCTATTCGAATGCTACCAAAAAGATCTGTGTGGGGTACATTTGGTTGAAAAACACTGTTTGGTTCGAGAGGATTTTACAACATAACACCATGTCCAGCAAAACAATAGCAAGTTTCTTCGAGATGCCCCAAGAAAGGCGTTATTGTCTTTAGAACCTATTGCAAGCCTGGTTCCTTTCTACCTCCTTCTTGCATTGGCAAGTTCGCACAAACTGAAGAAGTTATCATGACACATGCAGCAGTGTTCCAGCACTGGTCCGTACATAGCACCGCAGCCTGCACAGGTGTTCATCCTCGACATTATCTTGGAGTCAGAAAAGTCATCTAGTGTGCATGCCTCGCACGGGTATAAGGGGAGGTGCTGTGCTGTTGCTGTAGCTGCCATCATCACCATCACTACCAGCACGGTTGCTTTCATTGTCTGCATGTTGTTTCTGAAAAAAAAAGAATTTTACGACTTAGTCATGCTAAATGTATTAATATGTATTTGTCATCATAATAATAATGATAATAATGCTTATTAATGGAGTATGGGTGGTCCCAGTGCCAGTGGCGCATCAATCTACCTTGCAGTGTTACGCCAAGGATCCGAAGTTCGAATACGATGGCCCTAGATCTGGCAGCACCAGGCTTTTAAAAATGTGGTAAGAGCCTTGGATCTGCTTTACTTTAGGGTGTCCTTCTAGACAGGTGTGTGTGGGGTCGGGGGTGGGGAGTGTGCCCGTTGATTTTGGGGTCATTTAGTGGTTTAAGCATTCGATCGTCACGCCAAAGGCCCAGGTTGGATTCTCTACAATGGTACAATTTGTGAAGCCCATTGTTGTGTTACTCACTCACTCACTCACTCACTCCTAGAATCTGCTGACGCGTTGTCATTTTACTGAAACACTGCTCAAAGCATGGTTAACCTTCACTCACTCCCCTTTAAAGAACAAGGTTTCGACAAGAGGTCGTGTTATCATAGATATTGCTGTGGGCAATGTGAGGGTGTAACACTTGTTTGAAGAACAGGATCTCTTAGAAGGCATAGCACCAGTTTAAGACTGATAACGTCATCTGTTTTCGTGACCTGTGACAGTGCCATTGGTTTGAAGAAAGTGCGAAATTGTACTTGAGTACTGATGACAACTACAGGTTATCCCCTTCTCTACATGGCTTATCTAATTTATTTATTTCTCAAAAAGAGTTTCAATATGAAAATCGTCTCTGTGCAAACTACCAAGAATACAAAAAACCCTAGAAAACGTCATCGCCAAATAAAAAGCCAGTCTGGATTATCCGCCGAATCAGATGCAATCTGTCGTAAAAGGCAATTACTGCTGTGACAGTTATATGAATGGATCAATGAAAATCACAGATGACGCCAGCCGGTAGATGATATAAAGACTGTATAGATACTCTGTCTGCTTCTTGATTGTGGTGTATATTATGAAAGCATAGACGAAATCCTTGACTCCAACTGCTTGTTGGTTGTTGTGTACTTGTTGAAACCACAAGAGAAGATTCATCTGCAAGTTTAAACTTCTAGAAGCCTTGTTCAAAAAGGTTAGAGGAGGGTATATCTGTTTGCGTAAATGTTAGTAAAAGACAACTATCTGTCATATCAGTTTCATTCAACAACATTCTGAATACAGTACCTCTGTGACATTACACGAATACAATATGTCGGACATTGACACTCCAAACGTCTTTAAATCCGTTTAAGTCAAAGTACTCTGATCTTGTATGTGTTTTTAAAACCAAAATGCAACCACCACACGTCCGTTATTCACGTTGAATCATCCGTTACACATCAGCCACATGAAACTTGGTTAATTCGTTGGGGATGATACATTGTAACGAGTAATTAGCATTGAAGCAATGATCTCGGTGGCTTCAGATGAGTATTGTCAAAGTGATTAAGCTCAGCTTATACGATTATGGCACAGCATTAATTACTTAAGATTGTCGGGTTTGGAGTGATCTTCAATGTGTTAAACGGATAGTTGAATTACGGTGTCAGTGAACCACACACTGTAATGAACCAAAAACGTCTGAAGCACTTATGAAGAAGATGAAAGATTAGCCTCGTCTCTCCATCGTGCCGTTCCTACGGTCCTTCACGTACATAACATTGTATATAATTTTGAATGTGTGAGATTGTTTGTTTTAACGCCGCAGTTATTAACTATAATCCATGGGACTTGCAAGTGAAACATTGCTTATATCTATTCAAACGGGAATACGCCTACCCGCTTATATTTCTTTCTTTTTTCTTGCAGTATTTGCTTGTGCATGACAAAACTTTGTGTCGTGTTATAACTATGATGTTAATAGCTTAAAAATGGAAAGACGAAGGCAAATATTTGATTGCCATCCACATATAGTCTAAGAGTATATTCAACAATAGGCAACTGACTATTTAACATACATTCTTAACTGTCTTTTCCGCCAGACTTGTAGATACGTAATTATGAGACAAAATCGAACTTTAATGGCGAATATGGCGCTAATTGGTATTTTGCATGTTCAGTCAAAATATACCTGGTCTGCCCTTCAACCCATTCACATAGGGAATCATCGATATACACATGCGTCGTTTCTGTCCAAAGGTCAAGGGGTTTTGGCGAGGACAAGTCAAACCCATGAATAGGCACGACCCTCAAAGGGACGATCGGAAAGTTCAAATTACCTGACATGGAAAGAGCATGGATACTAAACAATTAACTCTGGTCACCACTTCCGATGTTGTCAAGGGTTTACAGGGCCACATCTGCGTAACCTTGTTAGCATGAGGACGGAAAGCAACTGCAGCAGCGTGAGTACAGTGTTATGGACTGTCCATGATGGTTACAGACCATTACTGTTTAACAGCTTGTAGGTATGTTCTACAATCATCAACACTTGGTTTCATGATAGCCGAGAATCATTAAATAGTTTCAGAGGCTGATTAGATTCTTGTTCAATCCATGCTTGGACTGCCATATCTCCCAATGTCTGACGATTGTACGTATCCTTGTGTTATTCACACGTCAGTCTCACAAACTATGGCACGTATCAATTGGACACATTTCCATTTTGGGGGCGCTTAACCTCTGTGTCTCTTGTCGGCCATACCAAGACGGATACTACGGATTGGCGGTACATGGCATTTGCATTGAAGCCCTGGATCTGACTTTAATTTCTGACTGTGACTGAAATAGTTATTTTGATCAAGTTGTACACTGCATTTTACTTGTATATGTGAACGTATTTTAAACGTAATGATATAGTCGCATCAAATTGATTGTATCAATGCAGCATGCTGCCTATATCTGCCTAAAATACTATTGCAAATTGTGTACTACTTTTGACTTTGATGTCTTACACACATTTCCATTCCATGGTATAGTAATATTAAAGCGTCTGTATCAATGCTAGCTTGTTCACCATTTGCGAAGTTCGCATTGCAAATTAGCGTATTTTACTCACCATACAATATTAACATACCAACGCGCTATCAGGTATGATGGAAAACATCAGTGTAGAACGTTAACGAAAGGTATTCGCATTACTAACCCAAATGTATATCACTCATCATCTAATAAAACGAGTAACGCAATATTAGCTTGACAGTTTTCTTTTTATTTACGTTACATTTCTGAAATATATTTGTATATTGATACATGTGTAAAAGTACAATGAATAATAGGGAATATCATGTCATTCTTTACCGCCTCCCGGACGCGTCATACGAAAAGACGTTAAAAGATGGTTGACGCTCGTTATTAAGGAGACTCAACAAGGAGAAGACCGCTCGGTGCCAGTATACCGTGAAGGAGAAGGGTATTCATGTTAAACTGCGGTATGGTATCTCAGTGGGCTAGCACTATAAAACCGTAATTAGTTCGGACTAGTACGCACACATGTGCATGCATGTCGCTACATAAGTGCAATAATCTTGAATGTGACGTGAAACCCCATTTCACCTCACCTCCTCACGTCTGTCGTAAAGGTAATCTATCGTTAAAGAAAAGAAACCCAATGCAGATTTAGCAGTTAATTCCACAGTAATGCATCAGTAAAGTTAATTATAACAAAGATATGAGATACATTGCGGATGACATAATCTTACAAAACTGCTTAATTCGACGCAACATGTAACATCCACTTGATGAAGGGGAAGGAAGTAGCTCTCAAACGTCGTTGAAAAGAATACAAGAAGTTGTTTATCAATAAAAAGTGTCATGTATTCATGTTCTTACTTCCAAATGCCAATCCAAGACTTTAAAACACGTAAGAGATCGTAATGGGTTCTACCTGCCTCATAATATCGGAAACAGATGAACCACAATAGTAACCTACATTACGTCACAAGGAAGCCTGCAGTCTAACGTGTTGTTGGAAGTGGCATCCTTTGTTACCTCCTTGAAGAGACTGTTTTGTCGGGGGGACATTTCTCGTGACATATTCATTTGTTCATGTTCGTGACCGACAGTGCATGTAGCTAAAATTCAGGTTCCAAATCACCGGATGAACTAGTATTTATATCTATTATTATTAAACGTTCACTAAACGTAAAAAGCAAAGGCTTGATAGTATTTGTCCTGTCTTAGATATAGAACTGCTTCGTAGCGACAAGGTTAGTTTAGCCTATTAACGCGTGGCCTCGTTACGCTGAAGGCCCTGGCTCTGTTCCCCACGAGTATACATGTGAATCCCATCATTGATGTCCTCCGCCTTGATTTGTTGGAATAATACCAGACGCGGCATAAAAGTCAACTCACACACTCTTAGCGACATATGTTTTATATTTCAGTCACAGATCAGGTCTATTTATGTACATTTGTATGTAGTTGTTAACCCTGTGTACTTAAGTAAAAGTCGTCTCGAAGCTATGTGTACGTGTCTAGGTTTGTCAGCACCATACCCGTGGGTTTCACTGTCTTGGTAAACGCCTGAGACCTGCATCACTTCTGGCTTTCCTCCCACATTAAGCTGAATACTATTCAAAGCGGTGATTAACCCAACTCACTATTGCAAAAGTTATATTGTCTTCCATGTCTATCGCTTTCCATTCTAAAATTACACGTTTCCATCTTTGACATATAAGAACATAGACGCACAACATGATGGCTTTGTGTTATTATTTCTATGGACAGTTCAATGAGCACTGGCTGAATGAGAGCTCTCAGAAGGATATTTTTCCCGTTATAATGATAGCCAAATGTAAACAGTTTGCGAATGAATGCAGGCGGATAAGATGGGTTCAATCCACATGTGTATGAAGATGAGACTTTGCGAGACGATTCTTATTAGTTTCAAAAATATGTATATCATTATCGTTGTTCAGCACGCTACAGTTTCAGGGCTCCGTATATCAAGTAACATTGTTGTCATGTAGACTGACGTAGTTAAATGGACCGTCGTGTTTTGGTTTCAGGGGGAATACAATGTTACAGGCCGTAGGTTATGA